GCCAGTCACGGTGGCTCACACCTGTAATCCCAGCACTTTCGGAGGCCAAGGCGGATGGATCACCTGAGATCAGCCTGGCCAACATGGCGAAACCCCGTCTCTACTAAAAACACAAAAATTAGCCGGGCGTGGTGGCAGGAGCCTGTAGTCCCAGCTACTCAGGAGACTGAGGCAGGAGAATCGCTTGAGCCCGGGAGACGGACGTTGCAGTGAGCCAAGATCACGCCACTGCACTCCATCCAGCCTGGGGGACAAGAGCGAGACTTTGTCTCAAAAAAAAAAAAAAAAAATTATTATTGACTTTTTGCTGAGCACCTGCTGAGTGGCAGGCTCTGCTCTCGGTGCCAGGGATGCAGCTCTGAGCTGACTGGCATGCCTGCTCCCACAGGGCTTTCTGTTAGCAGACTGGCAATCAGAAGCCAAACACACAACAGACGGCACCAGTTCAGGAAACAGCACAACTACAAAGGGAAATACAGCTGGTGACGGGCCAGAGGGTGGCAGGGACTGTGTTTTTCTTTGCCTGCATGTATTTGGGATTCATATTTAGATCTACAATCAACAAGAATGTGTCTGTGTGTTGTGCAGGAGTCCAGTTTTATTCCTTCCCATCAAGTATCCTGTCCCATCTGGGAATACTGCACTCCTTCTCCAAGGTCCTGAGGCTCCACCTCTGTCTCTGCTCCCACGTGTGGGTCCTGTGTCCATGGGGGTCTGGGGATGGGCTCCCCACTCTGGACCCATTATCTGTCTTCCTCCCGCTGCACCATCATCATTCTGTCTTGGTATCTGGTGGGCCTCACTCTCCTCTTTTTCCTTCAGGTGTCTGTTCTGGCAGATAGGCCTTTTTCAGGTCTGTATGCAACACTCAGCTTGTCAGATTTCACAGAATTTTCTTCATAACTCTTTGGAGTTTGGAGAGGATGGATGTCTTTACGTGTGGAGTTACCCAGCCGAGAAAAATAACAAGTGTCTTTCTTTATTTAGGTATTATTTAATTTTTCATTCAATTCTATAGTTTTCTCCATAGTTTTGTTTCAAGTTAGAAAGAATTTTTACTTTCTTAAAAATTAACATTAGGCTGGGTGCAGTGGCTCAGGCCTGCACTTTGGGAGGCCAAGGCAGGCGGATCAGGAGGTCAGGAGTTCGAGACCACCCTGGCCAATATGGTGAAACCCGTCTCTACTAAAAATACAAAAATTAGCCAGGCATGGTGGCAGGCATCTGTAGTCCCAGGTACTCAGGAGGCTGAGGCAAGAGAATCGCTTGAGCCTGGGAGGCGGATCTGGAAAAGTGGTGACTCCAAAGGAAGTCTTCAGTGGGGTGATCGCCAGCACCATGTCCAGGTCTCAGCTTTGACGAACACTCGGTGGATGCAATGGCAGTGTTTAGGGAGGCCCAGGCACCACATACAAGAACCCTCTTATACAATCTTTGTGACTGTTCTGTAAATCTACAATCATTTCAAAATGAAGTTTTAAAAATGACTTTAATGGATGTAGTGCGTACATATACATAATTTATGTATAGTGCACACTAAGTTGAATGCAGCCATTGTCATTGTACTGACACTGTAAGGAAACCCTGAGCAGGGTTTTGACCTCAGGGGCGGCTGCTCGACAGAAGCAGTTCCCCCCCCCCAAAACTGTCTGGGTGTCTTGGGAATGTGGGTGCCACTCCAGCAAAGGTCTGGAAGGTGGGTTCCCGGGAAGAGCCTCAGGGGTGGGAACGTGGCGGCCCTGACCCCACCCTCTCCTATGTCTGCAGAGGAAACGACTCAGCTTCTGCCCCTTCTGCTTCCACGAGGCGGGGTGGGTGATGGAGTCCCAGCAGGGCCAGAGTGCAGGGAGGCCCCGGGATCTGCACCCCCAGGTATGGGGCGAGCCCCTCCCCCTGGGACTGAGCTCCCTCCCCAGGGGATTTATCCGCCTGTGCCGCTGTGGGGGGCGTTGCCAGCCCCGTCACTGCCTGCGGCGTCGTGTCCGGTGCGCCTCCATCTCTCACGGGGGAAGCTGAGGCTCAGAGAAGAACGAGGGAGGGGTGGGGCCGGCCCCTGTGCGGCGAGGCCAGTAGCGGACCCCAGCCAGACTGCGGGACCCCCAGCCTCGGATCCGACCCCCCTGCAATCAGCGTCGGAGTGTCCCAGCCTCGGGCACCACTTGGGACCGCCCCGCGCCGCAGCGCCCTCCTCTGGAAACCGGGGGTGTGGCAGCGCCGCCCTCCTGCGGACGCGGGGTGCAGCTCCTGCTTCCAGGGGCCGGCGGGGTCGCGGGGTGTCGAGGTCGAGGCTGGTGGGGTCGCAGCAGCGCTCGGGGCCACCCCTTCTGCACCTGTCCCGCCGTTCTGGCGTCTGTGCCAGGAGAGCAAATGGCACTTTGGGTTTCTGTGCCAGGAACAAGCTTCCCGCAGTTTCTGTTGGGCTCCTAGCTGCGCCCAATTCCCAGCTTTTGGAAGCGGTTCTGGAGGCGGCTCTGCGCAGTAGCCGGGCCAAAAGGCCGGGTGGTGGGCGGTGTCTGTGACGCTCCCCAGGTTCACAGGGGGTCCCTCTGAGCCTAGTGGCTTTGCAGCCTGTGGGGAGCACGAATCCTCGGCTCAGTCCCCCTTCTTAGGGGTGGGCCTTCCAGAAGCCTTTGGCACCTGGACTAGCCCAGGGCTCAAGTGGGGCCTCTACACTCACAGAGCGGGAGGGTCCCCACAGCCACCCCTGGAGCAGAGGGCAGCACACCTAGTGCTCTATAAATGCCTGCTCCCGTGACTAGACCCACAGCCTATGTGATGAGCTGGAGGGGAGGGAGGGAAGGGACCAGCCCACCGAGCTGTGGAAGCTCTGCAGCCCCCACCCCAGCCAGGAACCCCTTCAGTCAGGAGAGCAATGTGGGGAGAGGCCAGGCTAACTCACCTCCTTATAGACACCAGTCCTTTCCAGGAGGGAGAAAGAGCTACGGGTCACTCACTTTAGGGTGAATTAGCTTTTCTCACGGGGGGTAAGATTTGCACAAAGGCAGTTAGGGCTGTGGGGGCTGTCCTTGTTCCCCCACACACCTGCCAGAGACAGCCACACCGCAGGAGGCAGAAGATTCCGGCCCAATGACTGGGGACTGTTAGAAGAACCTAGGAGCAATTCTACTGTGACCCAGTTTCCCTTGAGTCATGGGCCTAAAATCTGCTTTGCAAAACATTGCAGATGTGGCTGAAAACTGACCACAAGGCTCTTAGTTTTCTGTTGAGGAGTCCAGATCTGTGCCATCAGCCAAGTGCCTGGCATAGGCTGCCTGCCTGTCCCCACAGCGACGAGGGCAGTAAGATGGGCTCATTCTCCCCACACCCTGCTGCCTGTGATAGCTTCAGACAGCCAGGACATGGGGGGCAGGAAAACAGGTGCAGTCAGAGGTGCCGGCAGGATGCAGGCTGGCCCTGTTTGAGTGACACCTTCAGCCCAGAGCACTCAAGCAACAAGCTGTTCTCCTCCCACCAACAGCGGGGGGCCTTCCAAATGACAGCTCCTGCCCACCTTTGACAGGGAGCTCACTCCTGAATGACTGGCAGAGGCAGCACTGGCACAGATAGCTACAGGCGAGGGCGTTCTCCCAGACTCCGTATAGCATGGAGCTTCCCAGTATCAGAGTAGTAATGGGGGGGCACCCAGAGCGCCAGGGACACGGAACTGCTGAATTCACAGAAACAAGGTGGGGGGCACATCTGGACCCAGGTGGAAAGTGGCTGGGTGGTATTAGCCCAACCCAGAATTCCACCTGACATTTATACGCGAGGCATTGGCTCAGCTGGCTGGGGGCAGTCCTTAGGAGGTCTGGCATCCAGTGGGCAGAGCCCAGAGGCAAGACCTTCAAGGAGGGGCACAGCCAGTGCCTGAGCACTGAGGAGCACCTCGAGGGGGCCGAGTGGCCGCCAGGGGAGAGCGGCATTTGCAGAGGCAACCTGTGGCCGGAGTCCCCTCACACACACGAGGCTGGTCCAAGAGCACCCCTGCAATGCTGAGGGCTATGAGTGGCCGTGGGGGAGCCTGGGCGCTTTGCCAGGTCACCTCCCTCAGTGACAACTGTGTGCTGGGTCCAGCCAGCTTGCTGTGCTCCCTGGAGCTGCCGAGGGCCAGGGCTCCCCGCAGTTCCTGCTATATTCAGAGGCTGTAATTACGCATCTCTGTCCTGTGGGCCGAGTCGCAGAGCTGTTTAGGGAGGTGTTTGTGGGGCCTGTGAATCAGGAGCTCACGAGAAAAGTGGTGGCTGGCACCGCAGAGCAATAAGGGCCTAGGTGCCAGCAACAAGCAGTCCCCTGCAGCCCCAGCAGGGCCCCTGCCAGCCCGCATGCCAGCTTCTGCCCCCGGGGTCAGACTCAGTGACCTTGCCTCTGACAGCCAGCCCTGCTCCTCAACCCACTTACTGCCCGCATAAACAGCTGAACTGCACCACTTCCAGGAGGCCAGGCCTCTGCTGGATACAGGACCAGAAAAGACCCATCAACCCCTGGGAGCTCACACACAACTGCACACACAACCACAAGACCACAAGCCTGATCACAGCCACATGCAGTAAACCACACACATGCACAACCACACACAACCACACAGCCAGGCATGCATATTACACAAACACACACAGAACCACATACAGACATACAACCACATGTGGAGCACACACAAACAATCACAACAGCCACACGTATGCATAAGCACGCAGTCACACACAGGTGCATACAGATGCGCAACCACAGCGCCACTCTCCGCCCCCCACGGAGTTGCCTGCGTCCCTTGAGGAAGAGAAAGCAAAGCAGGAGACCCCAGCACGCTAGATGGAGGGTCCGGGCAGGAGGGTCAGGGCCAGATGGAGGTGGGAAGAGCGACTGGAGGGTGTTGGGGGCTGCCTGAGGGTCGAGTGGATGGAGGGTTGGGGGAGTAGGCCAGAGGGCATGGGGGTGTGGCTGAGACACTAGCCCGGCCTTGGCCATCTGAATGGGGCGGTCTGAATCACCAACTTCTGTCCCAGGGGCCACCAAGGACATGGGGAAGATGCTCGGGGGTGACGAGGAGAAGGACCCAGACGCCGCCAAGAAGGAGGAGGAGCGGCAGGAGGCGCTGCGCCAGGCGGAGGAGGAGCGCAAGGCCAAGTACGCCAAGATGGAGGCGGAGCGCGAGGCCATGCGCCAGGGCATCCGAGACAAGGTGCGCGCCGGGCCAGGCCCCGCCTGCGGGGAAATCGGCCCTGAGTCCAGCGGGGGCCCAGACCCCTTCTGGGTGGAAGGGGCTGCCCGGAGGAGGGGCGGGCGTCCCCCTGGGTCTCCTCCCCTTTGGGGGCTTCAGGGTAGTGGAGGGGGTTGGGGCTCGGATTGGGTTCCCTCTGTGGGGCCCAGCCCGTCCTGCCCCTGACCGCAGGGCCGGCCCTGACGGGCTTCCTGGGCCCGCATTCCGATGCGCAGCCCTGCGGGAGAAGGTGGAGCCTGGCTGGCTGCCCGGGGCCCTGGGCCGACGGGTCATGGGGCGACCACCTGGCATGGGAGGGCGCTCTGAGGTGAGCCCGGCCTGGAGTGAGGATGCAGGGAGGGGGGCACCCGCTGGGATTCAGGAGGTGGCCCAGAGTGGCTGCCGGCACAGGGACAGCCACGCGCCGTCACTCCCACTCAGCCGGGTCCCCGCAGCGGCCAGGTCCGAGGGCCACAAGTTACAGGGAGCAACCTGGGTCCGGAGAACCGCTCCGGCTTCCTCGGTGGCTCCAGCACGGCCCTGGCTGGAAGCCGGGTGGGCACAGACAGCAGCCTGGAGGAGCCTCCAGCCAGGGGTGAGGGGGCACGTGGGAGATGTTTACATTCCACATAGGAGGGGCCTGGGGTGCTGCCTGGAGCCGAGTGCTCACCCCATGCGCTGCTCCCAAGGGTAGGGGCCGCAGCAGGCCAGGTAGGCCGGAAGCTGTGTTTCCCAGAGGGTCGCCTTAGTCGCCTGCCCTGGATGGGCCAAGATGGCCTGGCTTCAGGGTGGGAAGGTTCAGACTCCCGGGACCCCTCCCTGCTGCCAGGGGCACCCAGAGCAGGTGCAGAAGCTGTTTCCTGGCCTTGTGTCAGCCGCACCCAGGGAAGGGTGGGCTCCACGGGGTCTTGTGGGGAGGCTGGAGCTCCGGAAGTGGACAGAGGTCGACATGGGAAGGCGGGAGCGGGGCAGGTAGGGCACATGCAGCCCCCATACCCGAAAGGCCAGTCCAGCAGTGCTGCCCCGCCCCACCCACGGATTCTTCCCACACCCTCCGGTCCCTTGCAGCAACCCCCCGCCACCGCCATGCACCCTGGAGGGTGCAGAGCAGCCACTGATGGGGTGTGGGGGCTGAGTGCCCTGGCATCCCACCCAGGGTCACTGGACATTTCCAGGGGTCTCCTGTTGATCGACTTTGCTGTGCTGGCTCACGCCCTCCAGCTCCCCTAGCTGACCCAGGGCTTCAGGAGGAAGTCAGGGGAATATGCACCATCTGAGCCAGGCAGCCAGAGCCCATTCAGATGTGCTCAGGAGACTGTGGGTATCAGGAGCGGGGGACGGGGACAGGAGGAGAAGGGAGGAGGAGTCAGAGAACAGAGAGACAGAGACGTACAGAGATAAAGAGGCATACAGAGACAGAGGAGACAGAGACACAGAGAGGGAGGGCAGAGAAGAAGGAGAGGCAGAGACAGGGAGAGACAGAGACAGAGAGGGAGAGACAGAGAAAAAGAACCAAAGAGAAGGGAGAGGAGCACAGAGAGAGAGACAGAGACACCAGAGGAGAGAGATAGACAAAGAGAGGAGAGACAGGCACAGAGAGGGGAGGGCAGCAACACAGGCAGGGAACAGAGGAGAGAGCCAAGACCCCAAGACCGAGCCACGGCAGAAGCTGGAAGGCTGGCGGCTCACGTAGAGTGGGAGGTGGCGGTGGTGGCAACTGAAGGAGAGGACACAAAGTGATGGTGGGCTGGGGTGCAAGAGAGGAGGCTGTGTCTGGGTCCGTGTCCAAGCAGGTGCCTCCAGAGTGGGTCAGGTCCCCCCGGCTCCGACCTCTGCTGGCATGATCTTACCGGCTGTTCACAGACCGTGTCATTCCTCTGGGAGAGCCAAGACCCCAAGACCCCGAGAGCCCCCGGCAGAGCTGAGAGAGCTGACGCTCAGTAGAAGTGGAGGTGGCGGTGGGTAGCAGCTGAAGGAGGGACACAAAGTGATGGTGGGCTGGGGTCTGAGAGAGCTGTGTCTGGGTCCGTGTCCAAGCAGGTGCCTCCAGAGTGGGTCAGGTCCCCCCGGCTCCGACCTCTGCTGGCATGATCTTACACCGGCTGTTCCGGGCCGTGTCATTCCTCAGGGTCCCCAGAGGCAGGACAGGGCAGGCTCAGGGGACCATGTCCAGGCCCCAAGGGCAGTGGGGACAGGGCCAGCAGTGTCAGTGACTGAGTGGCCCGGACAGGATGCAGCAGCTGCACCCTCCAGAGACTGGGAGACACCAGGGAGAGTGAGGCCCAGGAAAGGGGGAAGCGTAAGCACCTGCTCAGTTTCCGTGTGGGGCCCACAGCTGGCAGCTGGGGTGCAGGGCTCTCTGGTCAGGCCTATGGGGAGCTGGCCTGACCTTGCTGCCAGGCACCAACCTGCGCTTCTGTCTTGGTCTAAGCCCCTCAGAGAACACAGGTGGCAGGGATAGAGGCCACAGACCTGCCCACAAGAACAGCCCCCTCCACAGTCCACTGGCCCCTCAGGCCTTGGAAGCACCAGCCTCTCTGCTCTGGAGGCCCCACCACACTGGATCCCCCCCAGACCCCACATCCACACCTTCCCCACAGAGCCCTCCTCCACGGAGCCTTTTGGGGTTGGGGGAACCCCGCCCTCAGGTGTGGCCACCTGATCAGAACACCTGCTGCCTCCAGCCTCCCCTGGGCCGTGGCACCCCCAGGCATCTTGGGGGTTGGTTAGAGAAGAGGTGCTGAGCTGCCCTGTCCAAGGCCTCTTTGTGTATGGGGACTGGATCCTTTCGGAGTATCCAGCCCCTCAGGCAGTTCCCAGAGGAGCACCGCACCTGCACCTCCAGTCAGGCAGCCATCTGGACAGGCCCAGGCCCAGGGATCGAGAGCGAGACTGGCCCCTCTGTGCTCCTTGCACTGACTGACCCGCCCTTGGCTTGCACAAGCTTCCAGCCACCCATGTCGGGCAGCTCACGCCTGGGCCTTCCTGCATGGGCCTTCTGAGGGCCCACTAGGCTGCCCAAGTACACTGCATCCCCCCACCCCCAACAGCTCACACGGCGGCTAGCAGGTGTCCACCTGGTTGCCGAATGCTGGGTGTTTGGTCCTATCATTCCTATTGTTGGTTCTCAGTATTGATTAGCACCCACTGCCCTTTTCTTCTCAGGAACACAGTGTTTTCAGGGTTCAGGGTCTCACCTCAGACGTGTCAGGGCCTCCTAGGCTCCCCCAGCAGCCACTCCCATCCTCAGGTGTTACTTCCTAGAGAGCAGCTGACCAGCATCACCGCGGGCCTAGGGTTGGGTGTGCCTGGGCATTTGTTTCTGGAGCAGACGCCTCAGAACCGGGTCTCAGGCTCCGGCGTGCAGCCCAGCCCCAGAGCCCGTGTTCCCAGCGGAGTGACCCTGGCCCTCGGGCCGAGTCCAGCATGACCTCAGCCTCAGAATGCCCTGGAGCCTCAGTGCAGCAACTGGCACTTCAAGCCAAGCTCTGAGTGTCCTACAGCCTGGTGGCAGGGCCTGGAGTCTCCTTCCTGGGCCCAGAGGGAAGGACCCCACACCATTTGCAGACAGGGTCCCCCAAGCCCCAAGGGTCACTCCCCTGACCCAGGAGGTTCCTTTGCTCACACAACTTATGTTCCCGCTGTTACATGCCTGCTCCTCTGAGCACACCCGTGTTCCTGAGTGCCTTTGCTGTGGGCAGCACGGCCTCCTGGGCTGGGCACACGTGTGGCCGCCGCATGCACAGACCCCCGTACCCCTGGCTGGAAGGAGGCTCTCTCTGGCCAGACCTAGCTTCCAGTGGCATCGCTCTCCCCAGCGCACTCCTGGCCCCACAGGACGAGGAGCACGTGCCCCCTCCACTTCGGTACCTGGAGCTGCTGCCCCTCCTGCTGTGGATGGCTAGGACCAGAACCAGTCTGCTCTTGCTGCCCCGCGGGGTCAGGGCTTTGTTCTGGGCTTGCAGGGCTCTCTGGGTGACGCCCCTGTCCCTGTGGAGGACGTTCCTACCCTGCACTCTTCGCTTCACTGAGGAGATCCCTGGAGTCCCAGCTCTGTCAAGAGTGTGCAGGGGCTGCTGAGGACCAGGGCGAGCCCACAGCCCCTCTCTCCTCAGTGGCCAGGTGGTGCTCTGGCCGCAGGCCGCTGGGAGCATGGCGCCCTCCTTTCCATCTCACTGAAGGTGGCCCTGGCCCCCCACACCCAGAGCCACCTGCAGCACCAGGGGAGGGGAGAGATGCCGAGACTGCCCTCAGTGGGGTTGGGGGGCACACAGGTAGCCCCCATTTGGGAGGAGGGAGGGGCCTCCTTGGAGAGCCAGGGGGTGCCCAGCACCAGGAGCAGAACCAACCGCTTCTATGGGAAGGGGCTGCTGAGACAGGAGCAGGAGATGGCAGGGGAGGGGCTCCTCCTGGGCAGAAAGGCTCCTCCCTGTGGCTGGCGATCCCATGGTGTTATCCTTGGTCCTGTAAAGTGCTGGTGCCCACTCCCTTTCTAAGTTTTCTCCTGGACACAGCTGCTGACGCCTTTACTGCTCTAGAGCATCCTTAATCTCAGACCCAGGACCTTGGACCCGGCTCTGGGGTCCTGCCCAGGGGATGGACAACCGGCTCCTGTATGACACCAGGCCCCCAATCCTTCCAGGCCAGCCCAACCCCACTGGTTCCCACCTTCCTGGGCAGCAAGAGGCTGTTCTGTAGTTCCATGGCCTCACCATGACTACAAGCTTCCTGGGCTGGTGGCTCACAGGAGGGCTGGAGGAATGTGGGGTGGGGAGGTGTATTGATCTAAGAACCAAAACCCTGCTGCCTGGCATCAGAAACTTAGAGGCCTGGAGGGCAGAAGGCCAAAATCCCACGCTCCCTCTGGAGGCTCTGGGGGAGGGCCCTTCCCTGCCCCTTCCTGCGTCTGGTGGCCCTGCAACCCCTGGTGTTTCTTGGCTTGTGGCCTCGCCACTTGCGACTTCCTCCACTTTCATATGCCCGCCCCCGTCCGGGTGTCTGTCCTTTCTGTCTCTTATAAGGACACTCTTACTGGACTTAGGCCCCTCGAATCCAGGATGGCCTCATCCCCATCCTTACCATAATCATGTTGACAAAGACCTATCTCCAAACGAGATCACATTTGAAGCTCCAGCCAACATGAGTTTGAGGGGGACAGTATTCAGCCACTACAGAGGGCAGACACACTCACAGGAGATGAGAAACGGGGGTGGGCAGGGGCTCGGTGAGACCCAGGCGTGCCGGCTGAGGTCACGACTAGGCAGGATTCCAGGACACCCAGTGCCTGGAAGTAACCGCCGCCCAGGCCCCTCTGCCAGCTGCCCACGGAGCTGAAGTGGCCTGCCAGGGAGTGGCCCTGCTGAGGCTGTGGCTGCATGCAGGCAGCCTTGGCCAGGCCCAGGAGTGACTGCAGGTCATGGACCAGGCACTGGGCAGGAGGGTCAGCTGCAGGGTGACAGGTGGGGACTGTGGCCCCACCTCTGCCACACAGCATCCTGCCCACCCTTCCCTGCCCCAAGCTGGAGGCTTCCTGGAAGGCAGGATGCCAGGGGCTGGGCTGGGTTTGGAGCCAGAGGTGGGGCCACAGCCCCCTGTCCTCTCAAGGAAGATGGGAGTTTCCCCATCCCCTGCTCCCCCCTTCTCAGTTGCTGGCCCCCATTCTCCGTGGGGGCTTCCCACTCCTCCAGGGACCCCCCGGCGCGGGGTCTTTTCTCCCTCTGGGGTCCTCGTGTGCCTGGTGGGCCAGGGGGCCGTGCACACGCCTCCTGGGGTTCCTGGGCCAGTCCCTGGCCCCCGGAGGCTGCGGCCTGCCTAGGAGCCGCCGGGACCCCCGCGCTGACCCCCGCCTCCCTCGCAGTACGGCATCAAGAAGAAGGAGGAGCGCGAGGCCGAGGCGCAGGCCGCCATGGAGGCCAACTCCGAGGGGAGCCTGACGCGGCCCAAGAAGGCCATCCCGCCGGGTTGTGGGGACGAGGTCGAGGAGGAGGACGAGAGCATCCTGGACACCGTCATCAAGTACCTGCCCGGGCCGCTGCAGGACATGCTCAAGAAGTAGCCCCGCGCAGGACAGCGGCCCCGCGGAGCCCCGCCCCTCCCCCCTGCAGACCCTCCGCGGAGGCCCCCAAGGGACGAGCAGAGTGCAGCCCCTACGCCGATATAAGCCATAGCCCCAGGCCCGCCCTGCCTGCGCCCGCCGCCTCTCTCACCCGAGGGGCGCGCGCCCCCAGGACCCCCCAGTCCGCCCGGTGCTCCTCTGCCCGCGGGTGGCTGGAGCCCCATCGCCTGGGACGCCCCTTCCTCTTGCCGTTTACCGCCCACCCAGCAGCGCCCGAGGCCAGGGCCGCCGGAAGGGCAGCCCCGCGACCACCCCTGTGCACTCATTAGCGGCGGTGGGCGCCTGTCGGGCCCGCACTCAGGAGCACAGCCATAGCAGATGGGGGGTTGCGGGCGGGGCGGGGGCGGCAAGGCCTGGGCCCCCCTCCCGCGCGCGGATTCCGGGGTTCGGATCGCGCCGCCGTGAGTGTTCGCGCCCGCACGTGGCCGCTCTCCGCCCCCCAGGCTGCCCCCCTCGCGCCCCTGTCCGTCAGTCTCTGTCCCCGTCCTTTCCTCTCCTTTCTGGAAGGTTTCGCTTCTTACGAACGCCACGGCCGTGTTCACTACTAAACTAAAGGAAACAAAGCAATAGGTTTGGGGGACGCTAAGACCCCCCACCCCCGTCACCCCGCTCTTCCCGAGTCCTCGCCCCTCGCCCCCCACCCGGCCTCCTGGCCTCTCCGCCGACGCGGCTGCTGCTTCTCCCTGGGGTGGACCCCTGCCCTCGCCCATTGAACTCTGCACCCTCCACAGGAGCCGCAGAGGCCCGAGGCACCCAGGGGGTCTCCGGACGCTGGAGACCCTGCGCCCCTGCCCAGCGCCTCCTCCGTGGGCAGCTCCTCGGGTGGGGCCTGCGGGGTTCCCTGCGCGCAGCCGGCGCCAGTGTGGCCGAATCCACCTGGTGGCCCTGCGGGGCGGCCTCCGAGTCCCTGTTTCTCCTCCATTCATGTTTAATTTGCATCACAATTTGTTGAATCTCAGGTAAATGAGGTCTTTGCATTTAATGAGTTTTATCTTGACAGGCGTCGCCTCGCCCCCCAGGCCCTTTCCGTCCACATCACAAATGCATCAAGTCTACACGTGTTTCGGGCCAGGGTTGGCTTGGCATTGACCTTCATGACCTTACATAGCTTTAGAGAAGCCATAACGTTAGACTGCAATACTAACGACCTACGCCCTTCCCGGCAGAGACCACCGCGCCCCTCTGCGCCCCAGCGACGCGGCCCGCGGGGACGTCGCTGTCCGTCCTGCTCGCCCTGTGCCCTCTCGCTGACTTCTCCCGGGTCGTGTCTTATAAAAACTCCTGTTTTCACACCTTTCAAAGCCAGCTCTGAGCAGACAGGGCGTCCTCTCTTAGAACCTGCGCACCCCGTTCCCAGCGCATGGCGCCCGGGGCCGCGAGCTTAGCTTAGACCGTGGTGTCCTCTGTCCGTTTGTCCTGCGCCTGCGCCTCCTCCTGCATGTCGGGGCCCCTGCGTGTGTTCTCTCCGGATGGAATCACAGCCAATAAACACCAGTGATTTCACACCGTGTGGCCATTCCTTCCAGAAGTCCATTCCGCCAGCCGGTGGGAGGACCGGGCCTTCCCTCGCCCATGTTCTTTCCACCGGCAGCTGCAGGGCATCCCACCATTCTCACCCTGCTCCGTCCACTCAGACTCATTTTCCCCAGGCCCTCCAGCCAGAGCAACCTCCATGTAAACCGCAGACCTGCGCCTTCAGGGACCCAAGCCCAGGTTGGGTCTTCCACCCTCAAAGCCTCTGCCCTCTGCTCTCCCTCCCACCTAGATCCCCGACCACCGGCCTGTGCCTCTTCCCAGCTCCACCAGCCCGGGGCCCCAGGTCACCCTGACCCTGTGCTGCCCTTGCCTCTGCCCAACCAGGAATTCCTGCCCCGACAAGCATCCCCATGGGACTGTCCCTCCTCCTGAGTCCCAGATCGGGATCCCTGAAGGGAAATGTCTGCCAACTTGGGTTAAGGCCAGAGGAGGTTCCTCACCCCAGCCCAGAGAACAGGCCCTCTGCCTGGTTGCTGGGGGTCCCGCCCACACTCAATCCGCTGGATGCTCAGCCCACCCCTAGCTGCTGCCCGCCACTTGCTTCCCCAGAACGTCCTTGTTTGACCTCCATGTTTGGAAGCTGTTAAAAGATGATTCCGGCCAGGTGCGGTGACTCTGGCCAGGTGCGGTGACTCGGGCCAGGTGCGGTGGCTCAGGACAGGCACTGTGGCTCACACGTGTAATCCCAGCACTTTGGGAGGCCAAGGTGGGCAGATCACGAGGTCAGGAGATGGAGACCATCCTGGCTAACATGGTGAAACCCTGTCTCTACTAAAAATACAAAAAAAAAAAAAAAAAGAAAAAAATAGCCGGGCATGGTGGCATGCAACTGTAGTCCCAGCTACTCGGGAGGCTGAGGCAGGAGAATCACTTGAACCTGGGAGTCGGAGGTTGCAGTAAGCTGAGATTGCACCACTGCACTCCAGCCTGGGCGACAGAGCGAGACTCCATCTCAAAAAAAAAAAAAAAAAAAAAAAGCAAAGATGATTCCATGACATTTGTTAAAGCTTGGTGAGGAAGGCTTTGCTCAGGACCAGTGCCATAGGTACAGGGACCATGCAACAGGGCTTGCAATGGGTGTGTTGCCAAGGAGCAGAGTGGGCTCAGTGGACAGAAAATGACTGAGGAACATCAAGGGTTGGGGGATTCTGGCTAACCCCGTCTAACTGGATTCTAGCTGGAGACAGGCAGGGTAATCAGACAGACCCGTCTGGCGGTGGAGGATGAGGACCCCAATTAAATCTCCAGGATGAGGGTTTGTTGCTAAACTGACCTAGCCAGATTCTTTGCTAAAACAGAATTTTACAAGGAAGTGGGTCAATGGGCCTACCAGAAGATTCAGGAAGTTAATTAAAGTTTGACCACACAAAAAGCTTTGTCAGGAGCCCTCTCTAGGGAGCAGCATGTCTGGGTCTCCTGTAACCTTCCTGACGCTTCTGGCTGGGAATGCCCCAGGGAGCTGCCCAGTCCCAGGGCAGGAGAACCTCATGTGCCCTGCCCCCAGGCCGGGCCCTCCTGGATGCCAGGTGGGATCTGGGAGGGAATGTGCTCTCCTCCAAGCCCATGGAGGGGTGTATCCTGGTCTTCCTCCTGCTGCCTCTGGGGAAGTGTGGACCCCAGGCACCACCAAACTGCCCAGGGTGACGTCTCCCCTGCCGAGTAGGCAGCAGCTGGCCCCTCTTCCTCCCTGGAACTGAAACTCAGTGTCTTTGCACCCACCCCTGTGCCTGTGGCTGCTCCCCAGCAGGGCTGCTCTTAGAAGGCCACCCCAACATCCAGCCACTGCTCAGCCTCCATCCTCCCCTAGCCTCCCATTTCCCACCCATAACCTGGTCTGGACCCCCTTGCAAGCCTGAGCAGCAACTTGAACATCCCAGGCAATGACCCAGGCAGCTTTCCCTCAGAGTCTTTTTTTTTTTTTTTTGAGACAGAGTCTCGCTCTGTCGCCCAGGCTGGAGTGCAGTGGCGAGATCTCGGCTCACTACAAGCTCCACCTCCCGGGTTCACGCCATTCTCCTGCCTCAGCCTCCAGAGTAGCTGGGACTACAGGCGCCCACCACCATGCCCAGCTAATTTTTTTTTGTATTTTTTTAGTAGAGACGGGGTTTCACCATGTTAGCCAGGATGGTCTGGATCTCCTGACCCTGTGATCCGCCCACCTCAGCCTCCCAAAGTGCTGGGATTACAGGTGTGAGCCACTGCGCCCGGCTCCCTCGGAGTCTAGACCAGCCCTTCCTACAGCTGGGTCAGACCTGAGCTTCTCCTGGATCCAGCTCTCACCTCAGGTGATGGGGTCCGAGGCCTCCTGGGAAAGGCACTCCTCCCCAGATGTTTACTGTGCCCCTGTGATTTGTGGCGCTCTGTTCTAGGGGCTGGGAATACTAGTCCCTCCTTCCTGGAACTGGTTTTCCTAGTGATGAAAGGCAGATGATAAACATGTAAGTGGAGAGAGCAATGGTGAGGGTTACTATTTCATGAGTGGTCAGGGGGCCTCTCTGTCAGAGTGATGTGCACAGACCCGGAGGAAGGCGGGTGTCCCGTGGGAGAGCATTCTGGGCAAAGGAACAGGCATTCAAGAGCCAGGAGACAGCGCTGCCTGGGTGCCACCAACGTGGCCCTGACCCCAGGCACTGGCTGGGCACCACTCTGCCCCCGGAGTCTCCTCCTTCTGAACGTTTAACTGTATCTTGAACACAGCTAGGCTGGTTTTCAAGCTCCAGACACGGCCTCCTCCCCAGGCCAGGAAGCCATCTCTCCTCTGACCGCCTTCTCCCCCAGGGCCCCTCCTCTCCAGCGCCCTGCACTTGGGGCAGTAGCGGCTTCTGAATCAGAAGCCACCTGACTATGAGCTTTCAGGACAAATTCTAAGAGGCCTGGCAATTAAAGGCCATTTTCCTGGCACCGGAAGTCCGCAGCCAGTCCAACCCTGCCGCCCACCGCCGGCCAGTGGGGCCACTGCGCCCAGGCGACTCGGAAGCGGCTCTGCTGCTGTTGCAGGCAGCTGCCCCTCAGGTGACGCAGGGAACGGTGTGTGGGGAGGAGCACAAGCCAGTAAGGAGTCCTGGGAACAGCTTGAGATACCCACACACCTGGCTGTGTGTATGGAAAGGGCCTCAGGGAAGGCGCCCAGGTGAGACTTCCGGGGACACGGCCCCCAGCACACCCGCCCCCTCCAGCACATCCACCCCACCCAGCACATCCACCCTGCAGGGGATCTGCCCCACCTCCCCGTCACACAGATCCGCCCCTCCAGAAAATCCGCCCCCCAGTAGATCCACCCACCAAGATCCACTCCCCTGGAGATCCGTCCCTCCAGCAGATCCGCCTCCCGCAGAAGATCCACCTCCTCATCAGATCCTCCCCCAAAGACCCACCCCCAGCACATCCGCACCCCCAGAAGATCCACCCCCCGCAGCAGATCCGGCCCCCTCAGCAGATCTGCCCCTCCAGAAGATCCGCCCCTCACGGCAGATCCGGCCTTCCCAGCAGATACGCCCCTACGCCCCCTCCCCGAGTAGATCCTCCCCTCCAGAATATCCACCTCCCCCGCAGATCGGGCGTCTCCCTCAGAACCGCCCCCAGCAGAACCGCCCCCAGCAAAGCCGCTCGGGCTGGGCCTCAGGGCCTGGGGAAGGGAGCCGGGACCAGGCCTTGGAGGGACCGGGCCCGCCCCTGGCCAGCCCGAGCCAATCAGCGCATGCTAGGCGGGCTGTCATGATTGGCTTCCAGAGGCTCACGTGTGGAGGCCTGACCAATCAGAGCCCGAGAGACACCATTGCAAGACTCTGAGGAGAGCTGGAGCTGGGTAAGTCCGCAGCTCGCAGGGCGGCCGCACCTGCCCGCCTACCTAGGCCAGTACGCGCGGGTCTCGGGCCTGGCAGAACCTTCTCCGGCCCCCTGCCCTCGCCTGGCCTCGCCCCGTCGGTTGCGTGCTTGTCTCGTCCTGCCCCCAGGCCCTGCCGGTCCCCACCCTTAGGCCGGCGTCCCTGCCCGGCCCTGTTGGGGGCTGGCGCCAGCTCAGGAAGACGCCCCGAAGCCGAGGCCTCGGAAGCAGGTTTCTCCCGGACCTTCTCCTGCCCCGCGTTCCCCGCTAGGCTGGCGGTAGGGACCAGACCCCCCCCGCAAGCCCATAACCGGCCTTCGCGCTCCCGGTGGCCCTGGCTGGCCCTGGGCGCCGCCGAGGCCTCAGCCTGGAACCCCGCTCCTGCCGTCCGGGACCTTTGCGGCTGCCCACACGCGACCCCAGGCAAGGGGTGGGGGCGCGGGACCCTCCATGACAGGGCGGCGGGGCGCTCTCCCTTCTTCGAAACCAGCGTAAACTGGACCCGCCTCACCTCCCAGACCTTGGGGGAGTCCCGGGAAAGGCTGTGGCCTGGGGGTCTGCAGGGCGTTGGCAGTAGAGGTGGGGAGAGACCCTAGCTCTTTTCTGCCCCAGCCCCCTCAGCCGTGCCTTCCTGCCCGTGAGCCGGGGACAGTGGAGGGGAGTCAGGGAGGCTTCTCCAGAAGGACTTTCTTATGACTCATCCTTTAAAGCCCCTCGGGCATAGCCACCCTCCCCAGGACCCACGTACTCTCCCGGACTGTGCTGGAAGCTCAGAGCCAGAATGACTTTTCCACTGAGGCTGGCTGGCCCAGTGGGCGGCAGGGACGGGGGCTGTGAAGAGAAAACTCACCCGCCAGGGTCAGGAGCTGGTTGCCCACTGAGTAAAGCAGAGGGGTCCCTGCCGCTTGCCTCAGGATCAAAGCCAGTTGGTGAGGCACTGAGTAAAGCAGAGGGGTCCCTGCCGCTTGCCTCAGGATCAAAGCCAGTTGGTGAGGCACTGCCTTGCAGTTGTAGGAGAGGAATAACGGCCCCCGTGGGTGCTTGGTTGGAACGATTAAAGGAGACTAGCAGTTTAGCACGATTATTTCACACAGTTCAAACCAGCTTATGTGGTGTCTTCAACAAAAAGTAATTGTTTAGAGAAGTAACAAGATGAAGGAGAACTCTGAGTCCGAGTCTCCCTCCTCAAGTCCCTGTGTGAACAGAGGTAAATAATCGAAACTCACCAACCAGGAGAAATTCACCTAGGACTGGGGCAGAAGGTATACACCATGAGCCTGGAAATGATTAAAAAAACAATGAACACAGGCTGGGCATGGTGGCTTACACCTGTAGTCCCAGCACTTTGGGAGACTGAGGCGGGCAAATCACTTGAGGTCACGAGTTCGAGACCAGCCTGACCAATATGGAGAAACCCTGTCTCTACTAAAAATACAAAATTAGCCGGGCATGGTGGTGCATGCCTGTAATCCCAGCTCCTGGGGAAGCTGAGGCAGGAGAATCGCTTGAACCTGAGAGACAGAGGTTGGGGTGAGCTAAGATCACACAATTGCAATCCAGCCAGGGCAGCAAGAGTGAAACTCTGTCTCAAAAAAAAAAAAAAAAAAAAACCCACAACGGTGAGCCAAAGGGACACAGCGGCAAGGGGTCCCAGTGGCCGAGGCTGGAATGACTTGAATAGCAGAATAAAGTAGCGTTGAATTATAATGCACAGTGCTAAAGAAATATTGATGATTCTTTGCTGATGTAATAAGTGACTGAATGAGCCAGGCAAAGTGGGACCTGTAGTTCAGCTACTCAGAGGCTGAAGTGGGAGCATCAGTTGAGCTCGGGAGTCGAGGCCAGCCTGGGCAACATAGCAATATGCCATTTCAAAAAACAAAGGACTGAATAAATAAATAGATGGGAGAGAGGAGACAATTGACCATGCAAGAGGAGTCCAAATATTTTTTCTTTGAGACAGGATTTTACTCTGTCATTCAGAAGGCTGGAGTGCAATGGCACACTGTTGCCTTACTGCAGCGTGGACCTCCTGGACTCAGGCAGTTGTCCCACCTCAGCGTCGCAAGTAGCTGGAACCACAAGCATGCACATCCAGCCGAGTCCGAATAGTGTATGCAGATATGACCTCACAGAGGTGACCTGAACTTCCTGAGTTGTGAGTGAGCCTCACCTGGGACCTCCTTTTAGGTAGCAGGGAAAAGGAGGAGGGTGAGCCACATGTGGGCACCTCCTTCCAGAGAGCATGTGCCTCAGCCTCCAGAGTAGCGGGGATTATAGACATGCACCACCAGCCCGACTAATTTTTGTATTTTTAGTCAAGATAGGGTCTCACTATGTTGCCCAGGCTGCTCTTGAACTCCTGGGTTCAGGTGATCTTCCCACTTTAGCCTCCCAAAGTACTGGGATTACAGGTGAGATATAAAACTTCCTTATTCACAGACTACATGATTGTCTATATAGAGAACACTCATCTAAAGCAACAGCAGTGATTGCAGCAAAGACCCTTGTAGAGCCAGTAAGTGAGTTTGGCATGTTCACCAGTAACACATACAAATTAATCTTAGTGCTGCGTGCAGTGGCTCATGCCTGTAATTCTAGTACTTTGGGAGGCTGAGGCTGGTGGATGGCCTAAGGTCAGGAGTTCGAGACCAGCCTGACCAACATGGTGAAACCCCCTGTCTACTAAAAATAGAAACACTAGCCGGGCATGGTGGCATGCACCTATAATCCCAGCTACTCAGGAGGCTGAGGCAGGAGAATCGCTTGAACCCAGGAAGCAGAGGTTGCAGTGAGCCGAGATCACACCATTGTGCTCCAGCCTGAGCACCAAGAGTGGAACTCTGTCTCAAAAAAAAAAAAAAAAAAAAAAAAAGGCCCGGTGTGGTGGCTCATGCCTGTAATCCCAACACTTTGAGAGGCCAAGGCAGGTGGATCACAAGGTCAGGAGTTGGAGACCAGCCTGACTAACATGGTGAAACCCCGTCTCTACTAAAAATACAAAATTTAGCCGGGTGTGGTTGCATGCGCCTGTAATCCCAGCTACTCAGGAGGCTGAGATGGGAGAATTGCTTGAACCTGGGAGGCAGAGGTTGCAGTGAGCTGAGATCATGCCACACTTGAACCCGAGAAGCAGAGGCTGCAGTGAGCTGAGATTGCGTCACTGCACTCCAGCCTAGGCAACAGAGCCAGACTCTGTCTAAAAAAAAAAATCTTATTACTATAGACAAGCAATAAGACGTTGGAAACAAGTTAAAAACACAGTAGCTCCTGAGAGAGAGAGAGGTATAAATTTAACAAGACAAAACAGGGTCTGTATGCTAAAAAACTACAAAATGCCAATTAAAGAAGACCTACATATGTGGAGAGACGGCACATGGCACGCTTATGGACTGGAAGACTGAACATAGTCAAGATGCCAATCTCAGAAGGATCTGTGAAGTTAACAAAATTCCAAAACATTTCAGTAGGACTTCTTTTTAGATTTAGAGATGATTTTAAAATGTATACGGAATGGTGAAGGAGCTAGCTAAAACAGTAAAAAGGATAGATAAAACAGTGTTTTAAAAAAGAGCAAAAAAGTTAGATGAATCACATTACAAAGGTTCAACACATGCTTTAAAGCCACAAAAATCAAGACTGTGGTATTGGCAAAGAACAGACAGATGGGTCACTAGAAGCAGACCCACATAAATATGGCCATTTGATCTTTGACAGCAGTGCAAACAAAAGCAACCCTGTGGAGAAAGGATCGTCAGTTCAACAGATGGCAGTGGGGCAGTTGGTCATCCATATGGAAAAATTGGAACCTTGACCTAAACCTTACATTGTACCTAATTAACTCAAAATGAATCATATATAAATGAAAAACAAAACTATAAAATGTTTGGAAGAAAACAAAAATACCTTTGTACCTGACATTTGGTAGAGTTCTTAGACATGATACCAAAGGCATAATCTATAGAAGAATCCATAAAAGAAAAATTTGTAAATTGGACTTTATCAAAATTAAAAGTTTATTTTTTTGAGACAGAGTCATGCTCTTTTGTCCAGGTTTGAGTGTGGTGGTACAGTCATAGCTCACTGCAGCCTTGACCTCTTGGGCTCAAGCCATCCTCCTTCCTCGGCCTCCTGAGTAGCTGGGACTAGAGATGCGTGCCACCACGCCTGGCTAATTTTAAAATTTTTTTCCTGAGTCTGGGTTTTGTTATGTTGTCCAGGCTGTGTTGCCCAGGCTCAAATTCCTGGCTTTAAGTGACCTCCCACCTTTGGCCCCAAAGTAGTAGATATTACAGGTGTGAGCCACCGTGCCTGACCTAAAAACATTTGATCTACCAAAGACAATGTGAAAAGAATGAAAAGATGAGGAGAAAATATTCACAAATCATCTGTCCAACTAAGGACCTGTATTTAGAATACACAGAGAGCTCTTAAGACTTAACAGTAAGAAAACAGTCCAACTAAGAAGTGGAAGAGACCTGACCAGACATGCACCAGCGATGACACAAGGTTGACTACTGGGCACAGGAGAAGAGGCTTGACACCACAGGCCACCAGGAAATGCAGATTCAGCCACCACGCAGGCCACAAGGCACCTGCACCACAGCCGCAGTGCAGGAGAATGCTGGTGGCGCCCCAAGCTGCCGGGGTGTGGACCTGCTGGAAATGGAAGACAGCCTGGTGGTTTCCTATAAAGTTCAAAGTACACAGCCATATGACCCAGCAATCCCACTCTTGGGTATTTAGAGAAAGAAAAACATGTCCACATAAAAACCATATGTAAATGTTTATTGATGCTTTATTCATAATCATTAAAAGCTGAAATTCAAATGCCTTTCACTGGGTGAACTGGTAAACTGTGGTGTATCTATGCAGTGAAATACTACTTTGCAGTGACGACGGGGAGATATTGACACATTCGGCACCATGGGGGTGGGAAGAGGTGAAGGAAGGTTGGGGAAAGGCACCGTGGTAAGGTGTGGCACTAAGGAGATTTGGGGGATGGAACCATTGTGTGTGTGGACTGTGGTGGTGGTCACATGACTCTGTACATGTGTTAAAACTTCAAACTGAAACAAGTTAAAACTTTTAATTTAAAATATTAAAACATTTTTTTAAACTGACATGTATTCCTGACTTTTTTTTTTTTTTTTTGAGACGGAGTTTTGCTCTTGTTGCCCAGGCTGGAGTGTAATGGTGCCATCTCGGCTCACCACAACCTCGGCTTCCTGGTTCAAGCGATTCTCCTGCCTCAGCCTCCCGAGTAGCTGGGATTACAGGCATGTGCCACCACGCCCGGCTAATTTTGTATTTTTTAAATAGAGGCAGGGTTTCTCCATATTGGTCAGGCTGGTCTCGAACTCCTGACCTCAGGTGATCTGCCTGCCTTGGCCTCCCAAAGTGTTGGGATTACAGGTATGAGCCACTGCCCCCAGCATTCCTGATTTTTAAGAAACTGTAACAGAAGAAAAATTACTTGGTAAATGGTATGTATCGAAACCTTCCAACAGTCATGCTTAAGTCAAGATATTTAAAGTATTCCCATTAAAGTCATAAAAACACAGTTCTCTTTGCTATCGCTGTCAGTGTTTCTCCAGACATCCCAGCAGGGTGAGAGAACCGAAAAAGAGGGAAGGAGATGAATATCAGAGACAGGGTTTAGTAGTTTGTTGATGATACAATCATCTGCGTGTAAATCAAGGAAATCCCCTGAAGAACCCTGAGGACCAGCTGAAGAGTTCAGTCCGTGCCGGATCCAGTGGGTTTCTCTACTCCACAATAACCCATCGGAGCGTGAGCCACAAGCCTCCGCCTCCCTATGAAAGAATCACAAAACAAGCTGGAAGAGAAGTGTGTAAGGACCGCCTGAGGAAGATGCTAAAAGAGGGTGAGTCGGCAAATATGCCACATCGTGGATGAAGGATGTCAGCTACCCCACAAAGTAAACTGTACATTCATTTAAATCCCAATTAAATTCTGATGAGACTAAATGACACAGGATAAGCTGCCTCTGGAGCTGATCTAACAGAAGAAAAGCCAACATTAAAAGAAAAAAAAAAAAAAAGACGGGTGAGGTGGCTCATGTGTGTAATCCCAACACTTAGGGAGGCTGAAGCAGGCAAATCATTTGTGGTCAGGAGTGTCATGTGTGGTCAGCCTGGCCAATATGATGAAACCCAGTCTCTACTAAAAATACAAAAATTAGCTGAGTATGGTGGCGGGCACCTGTAATCCCAGCTACTCGGGAAGCTGAGGCAGGAGAATTCCTTGGGCCTGGGAGGTGGGGGTTGGTGGTAAGCCGAGATTGCGCTGCTGCATTCCAGCTTGGGTGACAGAATGGTACCCTGCCACACACACACACACACATAAAAAAAATAAATAAATAAATAAAAGAAAGAAAAAGGACGGGCATGGAGGCTCCTGCCATAATCCCAGCACTTTGGGAAACTGAGGTGGGCAGGCAGATTGCTTGAGCTCAGTTTGAGACTAACCTGGGCAACATGGCAAAACCCCATCTCTACAAAAATAAAAAATTATCTGGGTGTGGTGGTGCCTGTAGTCCCAGCTACTCTGGAGGCTGAGGTGGGAGTATGGCTTGAGCCCAGGAGCCTGAGGTTACAGTGAGCTGTGATTGCACCACTGCACTCCAGCCTGGGTGACAGAGCGAGACCCTGTCTCGAAAAAAAGAAAAAACCACACCATAAAGGGGGTCCTACCAGACCTGAGCAGAGCCATGGGCAACACGGTATGGGAATTAAGCAGGTGAGACGACCAGAGTCCTCACTGGTACCAGAAGATGGCAGCCCAGGAGAAAGCTACCAGTCAGAGGGAGGCCTGCTGGAGATAGCCACATCTCCTCTCAGAGAAGGGGGGTGATGAGGCCCTGCAGGCCAGTCTGCCCTGCGCTGTGGGGTAGAGGAAGCTGTGGGACTGGACAACTACAATATTCACAGTTGTGGCACCAGCTGTAGGTGAGAAATGTAAGGGGGGACCCTATCCCCTCAACCTCTGAGGGGCCCTGGGCGACCAGGGGCTGTCCCCACCTGAGGGGTCCCAGCCTTCCTATAAGGCAGTGTGCATGGTGATGACTGAAGTCTCAGGGTGATCTCCCAGCAAGAGGTCAGGTCTTGGTTGTGTGTCCCAGGATCTCAGTGAAATCGGCTACTCCCCTGACCCAAGGCTCCCATGCCTCTTCATAGCAGGCCTACTGTTACCAAGGCCAGACCCTTTCATCTTTCAAAAGACTGACTAAAAATGCTTTAAAGAAGCAACCTTCGGCCGGGCATGCTGGCTGACACCTGTAATCCCAGCACTTTGGGAGGCCGAGGCGGGCGGATCACCAGAGGTCAGGAGTTAGAAACCAGCCCAGCCAACATGGTGAAACCCCGTCTCTACTAAAAATAAAAATTAACCTGGTGTGGTGGCAGGTGCCTGTAATCCCAGCTACCTGGGAGGCTGAAGCAGGAGAATGGCTTGAACCCAGGAGGCAGAGGTTGCCGTGAGCCAAGATCACACCACTGCCCTCCAGCCTGGGCGACACAGTGAGAGTCTGTCTCCCAAAAAGAAAAGAAAAGAAAAAACATAGGAATAAATGTAGTGGTCAAATGATTGTCCAACTGCGACAGGAGTGTCATCCCTTGAGCAGTCCACACTCTCCCCAGGAATTGGTGCGGGCAGACACTCTGGGGTGGGCGGGGTGGGCCCAGGGCAGCATCTCCTTCCTCACAATTGGAGCATAAGCCTCTGAAAAAACAAATGTGCTTTGTGAACTTTCCTTGACTGAGGAGTAACGTGGGTAAGAGAAAGGACTCTGCTTATTTATGTATTTAGGACTCTGTGCTGATTTATGTAAGCATAGTTGCATCTCTGTGTAAGCGGAAGACAGCAATATAATTCTTTCTATTAAAGTGGACATTCAGTGCAGCTACTGCAGAGCACAGTCAGGACACAGGCCTCCCCACCAACGCAGGCCCGGGCCTCCACAGCCCCTCAGGAGGGACTCAGTACATCTCAAGGAGTTTTATCCTTAAAAACCAGAAGCCACATGGACATCTACCTTGGGTGGATTTGGTGGGCCTCGGGGCTTCTAGCAGCAGCAGGCCTTGGCTTCCTGAACACAGATGGTGCGGGTCTCATCACAGCGAACCCCCTTGTTTTTCTGTTCCTCTGCTGCATTTCAGGGGACACTGTTCAGCCTTCACCCAGTCACAGGTGTACTAACACACATGACTAACAGGATTTTTGCCTTAGGCATACAGAACTGCATGGCAGAAACAAAACCACCAGCTAGCAGAGAGGCTGAGGCCTGGCTCTGCTGTGAGATTGCCGAGGTCCCTGCAGCCCCGAGCTGCTGCAGAACCCACAGGAACTGACTTCCAGAGCTTTTTTCTGGGGTCCTGGTGCAGGGCCCCACCCACAGTTCTCAGGTGGAGCTTGAAGCTCTCAGACCCTAGGCTCCCGTGGCTACCATCACCGGGCTTTGTGGCCAAGTCCCCAAAGTGGGTGGACCCAATTTTGAGGACTTGTGTTTCCCCTACTCCCTGTAGTTGACGCTGACATCGGTGTCTGCTTGTGGTTTCAGTCAATATCTTGACATTTCTAAGAGGGACTTGCCGAAAATAAGTAAAATACACTTTGAGTCAGTGAAGTCTTTTTTGGTTTTTTTTTTTTTTTTTGAGATGGAGTCTCGCTCTGTTGCCCAGGCTGGAGTGCAGTAGTGCGATCTCAGCTCACTCCAACCTCCACCTCCCGGGTTCAAGTGATTCTCCTTCCTCAGCCTCCTGAGTAGCTGGGACTACAGGTGCGTGCCATCAGGCCCGGCTAATTTTTGTATTTTTTTTTTGGAGTGCAGTGGCCGGATCTCAGCTCACTGTAAGCTCTGCCTCCCGGGTTTACGCCATTCTCCTGCCTCAGCCTCCTGAGTAGCTGGGGCTACAGGCGCCCGCCACCTCGCTTGGCTAGTTTTTTTTTTTTTTTTTTTTTTTGTATTTTTTAGTAGAGACAGGGTTTCACTGGGTTAACCAGGATGGTCTCGATCTCCTGACCTTGTGATCCGCCCGTCTCGGCCTCCCAAAGTGCTGGGATTACAGGCTTGAGCCACCGCACCTGGCCAATTTTTGTATTTTTAGTAGAGACGGACAGGGTTTCACCATGCTGGCCAGGATGGTCTCAATTTCTTGACCTTGTGATCCGCCTCCCAAAGTGCTGGGATTACAGGCTTGAGCCACCGCACCTGGCCAATTTTTGTATTTTTAGTAGAGACGGACAGGGTTTCACCATGCTGGCCAGGATGGTCTCAATTTCTTGACCTTGTGATCCACCCACTTCAGTTTCCAAAGTGCTGGGATTATAGGTATGAGCCACTACACCCAGCCAAGTCTTTTTTTTTTTTTTTTTTTTTTTTTGAGATGGAGTCTGGCTTTGTCACCCAGGCTGGAGGGCAGTGGCCGGATCTCAGCTCACTGCAAGCTCTGCCTCCCAGGTTTATGCCATTCTCCTGCCTCAGCCTCCCGAGTAGCTGGGACTACAGGCGCCCACCACCTCGCCCGGTTAGTTTTTTGTGTTTTTTAGTAGAAACGGGGTTTCACCGTGTTAGCCAGGATGGTCTCGCTCTCCTGACCTCGTGATCCGCCCGTCTCGGCCTCACAAAGTGCTGGGATTATAGGCTTGAGCCACTGCGCCCGGCCTCTTTTTTTTTTTTTTTTTTTTTTTTAAATGAGATGGAGTCTTGCTCTGTAGTTCATGCTGGAGTGCAGTGGGGTGATCTTGGCTCACTGCAACCTCTGCCTCCTGTGTTCCAGTGATTCTCCTGCCTCAGCCTCCTGAGTAGCTAGGGACTACAGGCTCCTGCCACCACGCCTGACTAATTTTTACTTTTAGTAGAGATGGGGTTTCACCATGTCAGCCAGGCTGGTTTCGAACTCCTGACCTCAGGTGATCAGACTGCCTTGGCCTCCCACAGTGCTGGGATTACAGGTGTGAGCCACTATGCCCAGCCTAAGTCAGTTAAGTCAGACTGAACCTATTTTTAAAGTTTACTGCTTTAGGTTGTGAGAATGTAATTTTGGCCATATTCTCCTTTCCTTCCATTTCTAGTTTTCTCAGAGTTTCAAAATTGTTGTATATTTCTTAACTTTTAAAAACTGAAGTTTTGGCCATAGTGCTTTTTTTGGGGACGGGCGGCAAATTGTCATAGGGAGACGGAACATTCATTTGTTAGTTGACACACCTATGGGAATCAGTAAGTTCTTTTTTAGCTGTATTTTCCTTGGCATAATCAGCTCCAAACTGCAGCAACCTTTCTGCAAGGAGACAAACTGAATGAGCTTTACAAAGTTTCTGGCCCAAACTCTGGTAGCAAATGCCGGACCAATTTAAATGAGGGTTGGCAACCAGGGTGACAATTTACAAATGCTGCCTGGAGCAAATCGAGACGTTGGTTAACCTGGGAGTGGGGAGGGCTGGGGTGAGGAAGGGAGCCGTGGGCTGATGTGTGCTTTTTGTGTGGACATATGTGCACATATGTGCAGGCATGTGGTCTGAGCACACACATTATGTAGCATGCATGCATGTGTGGCCAGTGTGTCTGCGGCCAGGCTGCCTGAGTGGTCCATCCAATACCCACGGCATTGTTCATCCCATGAGCAAGTCATCTCTTGTGCTCGTACAAATGATTTATGTAATACATTTCCAGCCAGAAACACTTTCACTTAAGCTTTTCTTTTGCTTTTATTACAAGCATATAATATTAATTGGCAAAACACTGAATACAAGCTTCACTATCATAAAATCAAAACATTTAAGCAATATTCCAAAAAAGATTTGACAAAAACTAGCCACCAAGAGTACAAAAATTACACACCAACACAAAGCATAAAAAATGTAAACTTTCAAATTAAACAGTCAAAAACATGTATCTGCGTGATCACCTCCACACCTCAACTGCCTTCGTCTGCCGCACGCTGCTGGTAAAGGCTGGGTGGCTGCACCGTCGTCCCCTAACCCAACATTGTTTTCGTCTGGGAAAATGCGTCTGATAGCCAATTAAGCCATGGGAGTGGACATTTACACGGAGGCTACGCACATCTCAGGGGACGCTCAAACTGCAGTTCGTTCCTCAGACGCACTATTGGGTGCGAAGGACACCTGGAGGGTGAGGGAGACCTCGGCGCGTTCCTGCGGGGCCTTGGCCACGTGGCCATCGCCCGCACCCTGTCCCCTGCCTAGCAGGGGACACAATATTTGTACAGATTATGGTATCATTTGAATGATTTTCTAATCTACTTATCTCAATTTATTTATTTAAATGTCAAGGCAGAGAAAGATATTGATCATGTTAAGGTCACGTGATGTGGTGGCGCAGTAATGACTTCCTGAGGAAACAGAGAATTGGATGTTTTGTGATTTAGCTATGTGCACTAAACTTATTTTCCATGTTTTGAGAGCACATTAAACATTCACGTACAATGTGGGAACAGGCTGGCTCATACCCAGAACGTCCAACCCAATGCCACCCTTTGAATCACTGTGAATGCCGTTCTGTTGCCATTCAGAGAAAACAAGCAAGGCTGCAAAGCCCGGGGGTGCAGGCAGCTGCAGTGTTTGGGCCAGGGCAGCTCTGCTCTTGTGGTCTGAGGCCACATGGCCCCGCCTCGGGGCGGCCTGGCCACAAGCACGTGGGGTCCAAAGCACCAGGACCCAGGCAGGACCGAGGTGGCCCCACAGCGTGGCCCGAGGCATCACAGGCTGACAGGCACTCACATACAACCCCAATAACAGCATTCTCACAATAATAACAATGAAAAAGGAAAAACCAAAAGCTGAATGTATATATTTTGGAATTCCATCTATGTTCCCTTTCAATTTAGCAGAATAAATGCTACATTACAATTTAAACAGATGTCTAATAAATGTGTGTTGGAACCTATTGCACAAAAGCATAAAAAATGCTCTTCATCCACATAAAACAAAAACATACAAATTAAAAGCTACTCAAAGTAAAAAGAAGCTTGCAAAACATCTCACAATTTCATTTTATATGCCTGTAAATAAAGCTGGACCACTGAAACCAAACAATTGGATGGGAAAATATGATAGAAGGCTTAAAATAGAATAAATAATTTTATAAAGTTAAGTTTTCTTTTTTAACCCCCCAAATCTTAAATTCAATATTATATATTCTATTTGAATTTTCTATTTCCATGAAAACTGCATTGGTGAGACCGTATTCCGGGTAATTAGCCCCACTGCTGTTGAAAACGACGCATAAGGTGATTTAACAGCATTTGTTTTACCAGCATAAATAGTTGTGAAAACTTCTTCACAGTAACTCCATCTGTTTTAAAAAAAAAAAAAACAAAACCACTTAATAGAATCCAATCATTAACCGATCCTGGCTTTCATGCTGGAAAAAATGAAATTCAGCCTTTTTCTGTGAAATGAGAGCTTGACAGAAAGGAAAGAAGGCCGCCCAGAGGCTCCACGGACGGCGGGGCCATTGCACTCCAGCCTCCAACGACTAAGGCTGCAAGGTCAGACGAGAGGCAGAGGCCCCAGGGCCGAGTCCTGTAGTGAAGACTGTCTGCACGATGAACTCCTAGAAAAATAGGGACTTCTGCTGCTGAGGTTTTGTCAGGTTAATGCGGTTACAAAAGCAGGGTCACCACCGGCTGGAGACATCAACACGGGCTCCACTCACCCGTCTCTCTGTGTATTTAAATATATCAGCTTAGCACCATAGCAAAGTCAAGTGATTTCAAAGATAGCTACAAAGTTACAAATATATATTATGACATTATTACAATGATATTCAGTTTAATCTGAACTGTGATTTAATTTTATTTTAATTTGGAGGCTTGTAACTGTTTAATCCTTTCTTATTCCGCCACACAGGAAAATGCCTAAGTTCTCATGTTACACTTAAAACTGCACTGTGATAACACACGGTTGTACAGAATGCTTCAGCAGTATGTATATTTTGAGGTAGACAGGTAATATTTATTCATACACAGCTACTCATAGACCCTTATACAGTGACTCTAGAAAATGATTTGGATGAACAGCAAGCTTAGGTAACTGAGTAACTCAAACCATCCTGGGAGTTGATGGGCTTAAAGAAAGAGGTGAATTTTGACCAATTCCTAACAAAGAACTTGCTTTTGTTTTAAAAGGCCTTACACTGACAATCACTCAGATGGAATTAATATGCATGTTTTCCTCATCCCTAAGATGAGGTCTCTTGAGCTGCTTTTTACCTAAAGGAAGCAGAAGATAACAGCGAAATTCAAGAAAAAAATGTCCAAGGTGGATGGCTTCTTGGAAAGCCTGAGTGGTGGCCAGGGACCACCTGGGCTCCCAGGGAGCGGAGGGAGGAGGGATTCAGTTCCACAGGAAATAAATGGGAACAGCCTGGCGGAGAAGACAACGACAACTGCAGGACAACACCTCAATCGCTCCAGGAAACAGCCCTTGCTCCTCCTCCTGGCCTTTCCACACTTCCAAGTTACTGTTTTAAAGGAAAAAAAAATGTGTGTGTGCTGGCAGTTTATTCTCTAATGTGACAAAAACATGACCATCCAGGAGGAGAGGGGCTGACACTGCAACCAACTGAGGCTGAAACACAGCTTCAGCTGAAATGCAGCATCTGCAGAGTGGGGGTCACCTTCCCTCCGAGCCCTTCAGCTGCTCACCCTGTCCCTGCAGCTCAGAAAAACGCCCTTCACAGTAATGGGCCGAGGAGCACAACAAGCTCCTCCCACCAGCAAAGGGGAAGGGGAGGCCTTGGACAGAGGGGGCAGTGAGTGCATCTGGGCATGAGCCCGAAGCAACCACCAGCCAATCCTGCCCACGGACGCCAGGAGAGCTCTGATCCCAACCACCACCACCTCTCCCTTCAGCAAAAAACGGGGAAAGAAAACGTAGGAAACCAAATGGCGACACTCAACAATTTGTGCCATTTTTAATACAAGTGATTTTTAAAAATAAGAATTGTTCTGCAAACCAGCACTGAGCTGGTCACATGGCCTCTGGTCTACCTGCTGAGCGTGTCAGAAACCGCAATGTGGAGTCTGGGGTCCTGTTTCCAGGGCTGGGTGTGTCAGCCCCAGTGAGAGTGAGCCCCAAGTGAAAGGTGAACCAGTCAGGGAGCTGCTGTCGTGTTTCATAAGGTGGGAAATTGAATACAATGGTCAAATCATAATGTTAATGGAAACCTCTTTTGATTTGCTTTTAAATTAATTTTTCATATAACTTCTAAATCTTCAAGAAGCTAAAGGCAACATAAATATTGTCATTCACCATGAAGATATTTTTTCAATAACTTAGGAAGGATTCAATAAAAGTCCAACTATTATTTGAGGCTTATCATGAAACCTAATTCATAAACTAAACTGAAGTGAATTCAGATTTTCAAGACCTGGAAAGCAAGCAGAGGGAGCTCATGTCAGAAGGTGACTCAGAACCGTGTTGCCTGCGAGAATCACTCTCGCCTGCGAGGCTGAAGCACAGGGTGGGGGGTTGGGGAGAGGACGATCGGCTCTGGGAGACTGTGAAGTGTTTTCATCCTCTGTAAACGTGGTGCTGGTAGTGTCTTGTTGAGTGTGAATTCTCTCTCATACAAAAGTTATAAATATTCTCTATTCAGAAGTCTGGTCCACATGACACCCAGAGGCAACGTTCTTAAGCGCGGTGGCCGGGAGCACCCAGGGGTGCAAGGGCCCAGTCTGCAGGTGCTGTGCGGCGCCATTCACAGCAAGTCCATCTTGGGTCTGTAGTGCAGCAGGAGTGGCGCCTTCTGGAAGACACAAGAACACAGCGCTTGCTTAGCAGGGGTGGAGGCGACGAGACAGACTTACTTCATCGGGAAGGGCACTGAGGAATCGCGTCCCGTGAGACACAGTCCACACGGCGGACTACATAGAGACCCTTCTGTTCTGAGCAATGTCGAGATGCCAGTGGGGGAGACAGGCTGGGAAGACATGTGCCCTCTCCCCTGGCCCCAGGTGACCCAGTGACCACTGTGCACATCGTGGTGGCCACCTTTACCTGATGTGGCCCTGGCCACCACTCCCTTGCCCCCTTCTCCCTCAAACCCTCTGGCCCAGCCCCAGGCCAGCCTTGGCTCCTTACCCCCTCTCCCCAGGCAGCAGCACCAGCTGAGGTGGGAGAATTCCACCATTGGTTTCCTGCTTCAGAGGGGCCCAAAGGCCCCAGGGGACCCTCTGCTCATGGCACTCATGGCCTCGGCAGTTTCCCACCAGGGCTTGTGCCCCTCAGAGCTCAGCTGGCGCCTTCCAAGCTGGCTCTGGGGTTGATGATTTCAGGAAGACCAGAACTGTGTTTCATAACCATCTCTGTAGCTGAGTCATCACTTTTTTTTTTTTTGATACGGAGTCTTGATCTGTCGCTCAGGCTGGAGTGCAGTGGCATGATCTCAGCTCACTGCAAGGTGTGCAAGCTCCACCTATCAGGTTCATACCATTCTCCTGCCTCAGCCTCCTGAGTAGTTGGGACTACAGGCGCCTGCCACCATGCCCAGCTAATTTTTTGTATTTTTAGTACAGATGGGATTTCACTGTGTTAGCCAGGATGGTCTCAGTCTTCTGACCTTGTGATCTGCCCACCTCGGCCTCCCAAAGTACTGGGATTACAGGCATGAGCCACTGTGCCTGGCCAGAGTCATCACTTTTAAGCTTTTAGATAAGAGATGCAGGGCCAGGCGTGGTGGCTCACGCCTGTAATCCCAGCACTTTGGGAGGCTGAGGCAGGCGGATCATGAGGTCAGGAGATCGAGACCATGGTGAAACCCCATCTCTACTAAAAAATACACAAAATTAGCCAGGTGCAGTGGCAGGCACCTATAGTCCCAGCTACTGGGGAAGCTGAGGCAGGAGAATGGCATGAACCCGGGAGGCGGAGCTTGCAGTGAACCGAGATGGTGCCACAGCACTCCAGCCTGGGTGACAGAGCAAGGTTCTGTCTCAAAAAAAAAAAAAAAAAGAGATGCACAGCAAAGTCACTGCCATTCAGAGCAGACTCTGAAAATCAAATCACGTGTCTCACCTTGAATCTCCACCTCGTGACAACAACGAACTTGAGCGTGTGGTCCTTGCCCAGGATCTCCTCATTGCATAAAATGTCCAGCTGGGGGAGAAGCAGGTTTGATTAGAAGCGGGGAGGTGCTCAATCCATGCTGACATGGCCACCTCAATGTTGGTGCGAAATCTGCAGCCCTTCCCCAATCATGCAAGAATGTGGCTAGAGACGGGGGTGGTGGTTCACGTATTCCTCCATCCCTACCTCACAGCCTAGACACGGGGTGTGGTTCACGTATTCCTTCATTCCTACCTCACAGCCTAGAGATGGGATGTGACTCACGTATTCCTCTGCTCCTACCTCACAGCCTAGAGACGGCATGTGGTTCAGGTATTCCTCTATCCCTACCTCACACCCTAGAGACAGGGTGTGGTTCACGCATTCTTTCATTCCTACCTCACAGCCTAGAGACAGGCTGTGACTCACGTATTCCTCTGCTCCTACCTCACAGCCTAGAGACGGGATGTGGTTGATGTATTCCTCCATCCCTACCTCACAGCCTAGAGACGGGATGTGGTTCATGTATTCCTCCATCCCTACCTCACAGCCTAGAGACAGGGTGTGGTTCATGTATTCCTCTGTCCCTACTTCACACCTAAATGGAAATCCAGTGCAACATATAAGCTATGACAGGGCAGGCCTGTGCCAGTTAGGGGGATGACATTTCTGCAGGGGGTGCAGGCGCAGGGACTAGCTCCTTGCGGTTGTGGGCTCCCATTCCACCCCCACCTGGCCTGCAGCTGCCCTGTACCCTTTTTCTCTTGACGCCCAGGCCCCATCACACCCCGTCTACCAAACCTGCTGTTCTGAGAAATGGGAAGAGGTGGTTTGCAGACCCATGAGCAGCCCGGACAGCTCCGGAATCGGGCACCTTGGTTCCCCAGGTGGCACAAGCACCTGAGAGGCCCACAGGGCTGATGTGTTTCCCTCCCCATACCACCCAGGCCCAGTCCACACCAGCCTCCTCCCACGGCTGCAGCCTCCAGGGGCACCTCTCCCTACAGGCCTTACCTTGGGTCCAGGCTGTCCCTCCCTCTCACCACAGTGCAAAAAGGCACTGGGCTCCCCAGTCTTTTAAAAAAATTAAACAGACTTTTTAAACAACAATTTAAGGTTCACAGCAAAATTGAGAGGAAGGTACAGGGAGTTCCCGTCCCCCTTGGCCACCCCCCAACCAACACCCTGCATGGTAGCACATTAGTCACCACCCAGGAACCTGCACTGACGTCACCTCTAGAGTCCAGAGCTGATGTCAGATTGCCCTAGTGGCAAAGCCACAGGTGGACAAACAGCAGCATCGCTGCCCAGGAGCCCTGTGCCTATCCACTCCTACTACCCTCCCCAAGCCCCTGCAGCCTCCAGATGGTTCTGCATTTTCCAGTGCGCCATGCTGCAGAGCTGGAGTCGCACAGCCTGCAGCCTTTTCAGAGGGGCTTCTCTACTTAGTAACAGACACTTGATTTTTCTCCCCCATGCCTGCTCCTGGCCTGACTGCTCATTTCTTTTCAGTGGTGGATAATATTCCAGTATGGACGCACAACAGTTTATTTACCCACTCATCTACTGAAGGCCATCTTGGTTGCTTCCAAGTTTTGGTAATTATGAAGAAAGCTGATATCAACATCCGGGTGCAGTTTTTGGTGTGGGCAGGAGATTTCGTTTAAACAACAGGGGGCATGGCTGCTGGATGGTTTGCCAAGAGTGTGCTTTGTGTTGTCAGCAGCTGCCAAGCTGTTCTACACAGGGGTTGCAGGTTCTGCTTCCCACAGGAATGAACCTGCGTTCCCCGCATCTCCGGAGTGGAGTGTGTTGTCAGTGCTTGGGATTATGGCAGTTCTACAAGGTGCGCGTGGTGCCATGTGGTTTTACTTGCGTTTCCCTGATTATGTAGACAGTTCTTCAGATTCCTTTCTGGGGAAGACGTGAAGCAGCCCCATCTGTCTGAGTGGCTGGGTTGGGGGGCTGAGAGGCACAGTCACCGCAGCAACAGCGAAAACCTCACACTCTTCCCTGGAGGAACCAGCCCTGTGCTGGGAAATGGCTGACCTCTTCCCCACCCCCTGCAGCCCCACTGCCCCCGTGGCTTCCCGCTCCACCTCCACATGAAAATCCAAGGACTTCCTTGGCCTGCTCGGTCCCCAGCTACCATCCATCTTTTCTGTTTCGCTACACAGAAAAGCAAACAAAACAACTGAAACTTAGCAAAAAGACTTTCCCCATTTCCTCCTCTCCCTTCCCCCAGTGTCCTGACTTTTCTCCATGGGCTCCAGGCAGCCCATGCTCACTGAGTCTCCCCAACCCCAGTGTGCTGTCTGTATCCCCTGCCAACATGCGGGACACTCAAGGCTGGCACTGGCCCCCCACGATCTGACACAGCCTCTGCTCTGTGTCACCACAGCAGCTACGCCTGTTCCGAGACACCACGCCCCCCCTCCTCTGCCAACCAAGCAGCCGTAGGCCTGCAGTCATTCCTGACCCCTTCCTTTTCTCTGCATCGCCACCCAAATACATCAGCAACTTATTGTGGCTTTCTCTGAATTAGTCTCCCACGGCTACCGTGGAAATTAGCACAATGAGGGTGGTGGCTTCAAACAATAGAAATGTACTCAGTTCCAGAGTCCATAAGAGTCACGCTCCCTCTGCAGGCTCCCAGGGAGAAGCACAGTCCATTCCGTGTTGCTGCCACAGCATGCCACACACTGGGTGATTTATGAAGAACCCAGTTCTTCATAACCCAGAACTTCGGCACAGTTCTGGGAGCTGCGGCATTCAAGGTCACCACGTTGCCACTTGTGAAGGCCTTCTGCTGCGTCCGCACGTTGGGGAAGAAGAGGGAGAACCCATGCTGGCCAGTCCTTTCACAGCAGCATCGATCCGTGCATGGGGCAGGGCCCTCGGTCTGAGTGCCTCCCCCAGGCCCTAACTCCCAGCACTGCCCCACTGGGGATGGAATTTCCAACATATGAATCTGGGGGATGCCTTCGGACCACAGCAGGGGAGCCTGCCCTGGCTTCCAGCTGCTGGTGGCCCAGGCGCTCCCTGGCTCGCCTCAAGGCTGCCTCCCTCCAGCCTCCAATCCGTCCTCCGCTCTGTCCTCACCAGGGCCTCCTGTCCCATCTTGAGTCTTCCTCTGCCTCACTTGTCATGGGATTTAGGCTCCACCCAGATATTCCAGGATTATTTCATCTCAAAATCCTTCACTCAATTATATCTACAAAGATCTTTTTCCAAATAAGGTCCCATTTGTAGGCTCTGGGGGGAGGACATGGCTTATCTTCTGGGGCCACCGCTGAGCCCACTGCTGCTCCAGAGAGCATCTCAAGTCTGTCCACTTCTCCACCCTGACTGCCCCCACCACAGTCCTCCTCTTCTGTGACTCCTGGTGCTGGCCTCTCCTGTGTCCGTTTCTGCACAGCCTGAGCAATTTTCAAAAACGACACCTCAGACCCATGCTCCTGCCCACAGCCGCCAGCGCCTTCTCTCTCCACGCAGAGCTGGACCCTGCTGGCGCCTGCATCTCCGTGGTGTCACCGCCTTGGGGGCTCACAGGGACCCACACTGGCATGTTCGTGATGCACCCGCTGCCAAGGCCACCTCACGCCAGTATTCCTTCATCTCCTTACGCACCACAGCCTGGAAGGGTCCTCCCTCTCTCCATCCGCCCATGTCTCCCCTTGTGAAATTAAAGCACAGAATTTCTCGTTGCGAGGAAAACCTTTACCGTATTTTAAAACAATCTCATCATCCCCGCCCTAGTTCTCTCTTCCACTCACAGTGGCGTTCCACGTTCCCTGTCTCTGGGCATCCTACAACCCTCAGGGCCATCTCCTATCCCGCTCCCTGGTGGAGCTGGGAAAACTGATTTTTTTCTGACTAAAATCTCCAAAGTTGTTAAAAACAAAACGAAACTAAGCAAAGAATCTTAGAAGTGTCACTTTTACAAATAAGAGAGGACTTGTTATGGTTTCTACTTAGGGATCAACTGTTACCTCGTTAAAGGACGAAAGGTTGAGTTTTTTGGCAATGAACTTCTTTAGATGCAAGACGGTCGCCTGGGCGGAGCAGCGGATCCACTTCCGCTTCAGTCCCCGCAGTTTGCTGCTGTTACACTCCAGGCAGATGCTCACCTGCAGGAAAGGACGCTGGTGAGAACGCAGCAGAAAGGCTCCCCTGGACGGTTCTGGAGGCTTCCTTAGACATATTTCACTAATTCCTCAATCTAGGACTGCTGACCTTTTTGAGATCAGACATCTGCTTTGACTTCAACAGTGCAGAAAAATAATCTTACATACCTTATCTGAAAACCTGTTTATCATCTGCTTGCCATTTTGTGAACTATCACCTCACCCCGTTAATTCTGTGTGTTATTAACATAATATTTGAGAGTTAATTCCAGAGTTACTTATCCACCACAGGCACTGAGTTCTTGGTCTCCAGCTAAGTTTGTCCGGACAAACACAGGGCAAAGAAGAGTGGGTGGCTCTGTGTCTGCGAATGCACTCGGGGAGACAGCAACGACTGCAGGAAGACAGTAGGGAGAAGGCTTGAGCAGAGCCTCAGGTGGAAGGTCACAGCTGCCTTCCAGGTGACCAGCAGCTTGGCAGGAGACCCGCAGGATAAAAAGTGACTGAAGGGGATTGTGGAGTCCCAGCAGCCACAGGGTCCCAGTGGGTGCAAAAAGGAATCTGCCCAGGACCAGGCTCAGGACGAGTCTTCACCCGAGGGCCTGGCTGCTCGGCCCCCAAGATATGCCTGACAAGGAAGGGCGACGCTCACGGCAAACACTTCTAAAGGTGGAGCCGCAACAAACAGCACAGTTAGGCCCTAAAAATGCAGTGGAAGGATGACCAGGGGGTTAACTGAAATATATATGTCTAAAATTACAAAAGATACAAAAGGGGTACAGACAGGCAGGTGTTGAAGGTAATCAGACACAATTTCTAAAAATAAAAACACTGACAGAAACTAACATCTCAGTGGATGGCTGAACCACAGATTCATCTCAGCTGAGGAGAGATTAATGTCCTAAAAAAAAAAAATCACTGGAGGAAGTTACCCATAAGGAGTAGAGACAAACACACCAATTAAAACAATAAAAGGAAGGCTAAGAGAAAGGGGGGAAGACGGGAGCCCCAGAGGAAAGAACAGAAAGGAAAGGAAGTGTTAAGAAACAGTGACTAAGGATTTCCTACAACAGTGAAGGGCAGATCCTCAGTTTCAGGAAGCAAAATAATCCAAAATAAAAGAAATAAAAAGAAATACACACCCCGACATGGTGCAGTGACTGAGCACAGCCCATTACAGGCCCCCACAAGAGCCACTAAGAGAAGTGGATTCCGTGCAAAGAGCAAGAAAGAGATCCTTGCTCCAGGGTGAGGATGGAGTGAGGGGCTGCCTGCAAGCATCACAGGAGAGGGGCAGCACGGGGAGAAAGACCTAGAGTTCGGAGGGAGAAGAACACAGGAGAGGAGCCGCGCGGGGAGAAAGACCCGGAGTCCAGAGGCAGAAGAACTCAGGAAAGGAAGAACTCGGGAGAGGGGCAGCGAGGGTAGAGAGACCTGGAGTTTGGCGGAAGAAGTGAGAAGCGGGAGAAAGGGCGTGCCCAGTGAGAGCGGCGGTAGGGGTGCTTGTGCGGGGAGGGGCACAAACTTACAGTAACTTTGGACTTGTTTTTTTTTTATTTAGACAGAGTCTCCCTCTGTCGCCAGGCTGGAGTGCAGTGACTCGATCTCAGCTCACTGCAACCTCTGCCTCCTGGGTTCAAGCGATTCTCCTGCCTCAGCCTCCCATAGCTGGGACTACAGGTGCCTGCCACCATGCCCGGCTAATTTTTTCTATTTTAGTAGAGATGGGGTTTCACCATGTTGGCCAGGATGGTCTCGATCTCCTGACCTCGTGATCTGCCCGCCTCGGCCTCCCAAAGTGCTGGGATTACAGGCGTGAGCCATCGCGCCCAGCCCACTTTGGACTTTTAAAAATGTAAATAGTTTAAACATTTTGTAACCACTAGTAAAACAGAAGTAGAGCTTATACCTTGCAAACTAGGGGAAGAAAGAAAGAGATTAAAGTTAGTAATTCACTTAACAGGGAGGAAGAAAGCATAGGAAAAAACTGACGAAAAGAGCAAAATAAAAAAATAAAGCAGGAACCAACTCAGATCCTCCATGGAAAAATCGTGGAATGTGTAAGGTAATGTGCCAGCTAAAAAAGTTTCTGATTTTTTTTTTTTTTTTTGAGACGGAGTCTCGCTCTGTCGCCCAGGCTGGAGTGCAGTGGCGCGATCTCGGCTCACTGCAAGCTCCGCCTCCCGGGTTCACGCCATTCTCCTGCCTCAGCCTCCCGAGTAGCTGGGACTACAGGCGCCCGCCACCTCGCCCGGCTAGTTTTTTGTATTTTTTTTAGTAGAGACGGGGTTTCACCGGTTAGCCAGGATGGTCTCGATCTCCTGACCTCGTGATCCGCCCGTCTCGGCCTCCCAAAGTGCTGGGATTACAGCCTTGAGCCACCGCGCCCGGCCAAAAGTTTCTGATTTTTTAAAAAACCTAACTCTATGTTGTAAACAGTGTCACATTTAAGACACTTTAAGAACAGAAATACCACACAAGTATTAACCAACAGAAAGCTGGCATAGCTAGATTAGTATTAGTCAAGCAGACTTTAAGAAACAGAGCTTAATGAGGAAGAAGCCCCCTAAAGACAAGAAACGTTTCTATACAGGAACACAGCTGGTGACAAAAGCACGCCAACAGAATGGCCATGGTGGGCTTCACGTCTCTGTAAGCAGCGGACGTGCCCTGCCCTCAACAGGCAGCCGCCGTCTCAGGCTCAGGGAACAGGCGCGCCAGGCACGCACGCACAAGTCTGAGGCAGCAGGGTCTGCAGTGTGTGGGGCCCACAGGGCAGCAGGAAGGGGCTGCACCGATGAATGCCGGCCTGCATGCACCTGAGGAAAAACGCAGACAGAGGGGGGGGGGGGGGGGGCGGGGGGGGGGGGGGACTGTGGAAGGAAAACAAGAAAATGTTTACATTTTTTCAGATTTGCATACATACAGGAGGTAATCACACAGTGGTTCTCTATAAGTCACTACAGACAGTGACAGAGATGAGAACAAAATTAAACCTTTTCTATAATATTAATCTTAGGACTAAACCAATGTATTACCTATTTAAATACACTTTAAGTTACAAGCACACTTCTAATTTTTAGGCTTTATTATGGCACAGTTTACACACCTCTTTTATGTATATAATGCAATAATTTTCTGTAAATTCACAGACTTTCTCGATGATCGCCATGGCAGTCTGGGATGGTTTCTATCACCTCAGAACCCCTCGTCAGGCCCTTCTGCAATTTGACCCTGCTGGGGGAGTGGGGTGGGGAGTGAGTGTTTAATGGGGGCAGAGCTTCAGTTTGGGAAGATAAAAAGGCTCTGGAGATGATGGTGGTGGTGGCTGTACAACATTGGGTTTGTACCCAAGGCCACTGAACCACACACCTGAAAATCGTTAAAATGGCATATTTTATGTGCATTTAACACAATTTAGAAAGCTGGTTAAAAAAAAAAAAAAAGTGAAAATTTAAAAATTCTTTTAATAAGAACCAAATTATGCAGCTGGAAAGTAAAGGAATGTTCAACTCTAAAGTTTAGAAAAGAGCCGGGTGCAGTGGCTCACACCTGTAATCCCAGCACCTCGGGAGGCTGAGGCGGCTGGATCATTTGAGGTCAGGAGTTCGAGACCAGCTGGGCCAACATAGTGAAATCCTGTCCGTAATAAAAATACAAAAATTAGACGGGCATGGTGGCGTGTGCCTGTAATCCCAGCTACTCAGGAGGCAGAGGTGGGAGACTCACTTGAACCAGGGAGGCAGAGGTTGCAGTGAGCCGAGGTTGCGCCCCCACACTCCATCCTGGAATACAGAGTAAGACTTCGTCTTAAAAAAAAACCCCAAAAAACAAAAAAAAACAAAGGCTGGGTGTGGTGGCTCATGCCTGTAATCCCAGTATTTTGAGAGGCCAAGGCAGGTGGATCACCTGAGGTTGGGAGTTCAAGACTAGCCTGATCAACACGGAGAAACCCTGTCTCTACTAAAAATACAAAAAATTAGCCGGATGTGGTGGCGTGCGCCTGTAATCCCAGCTACTCTGGAAGGCTGAGACAAGAGAATAGCTTGAATCCAGCAGGCGGAGGTTGCGGTGAGCCGAGATCGCGCCTTGCACACCAGCCTGGGCAACAAGAGTGAAACTCCATCTCAAAAAAAAAAAAAAAGGACAATTCTTAAGAAGAAAAATGAGGGGGACCTACTCTCCCAGAAGACCACAGCTTAATGGTAAAATAAATCATTGCAATTCAGTTAAGTTCCTTGTTGTTTTGGCACAACGGGAGACAAGAGACCAGCAGAACAGAGCAGAGAGCCCGGGGGGGACCTGACAGTGTGGAAACCTGGCAAACTTGAACCCACCTCGTCCATTCTACACACAAGGTCAACTGTAGGGGCTTACAACCCAACTTGAAAAAGCAAACCTTTCAAATATGTTACAAGACAATGTAGAAGAATGTATTTATGACCTTAGAATGGGGAAACATTTTTAAGATACAAAAGAAAATACCGAGAAATTTAATTATGTCAAATTTTACAACTGCGGATGATGGTTGAAGAAAGCCAACAGCCACAGAAGGAAAGACGATCGCTGCAGTGAGCGCGGGGCGGTGAGGGGAGAGGCAGCCCTGCAGCTCACGTGAGGAAAAGTCAGGCTGCCCAGGACAGAGACGGGCAAAGAACAAGGAAGCAACTCACACGCAGAGGAGCCCAGAGACGTGCGATGAGCCGCTGGACACCCCACACACAGGAGACTGATCAGAAATAACAGAGATAGGCCGGGCGCGGTGGCTCAAGCCTGTAATCCCAGCACTTAGGGAGGCCGAGACGGGCGGATCACGAGGTCAGGAGATCGAGACCATCCTGGCTAACACGGTGAAACCCCGTCTCTACTAAAAATACAAAAAACTAGCCGGGCGAGGTGGCGGGCGCCTGTAGTCCCAGCTACTCGGGAGGCTGAGGTAGGAGAATGGTGTAAACCCGGGAGGCGGAGCTTGCAGTGAGCTGAGATCCGGCCACTGCACTCCA